CCTTGGCTTCTCATCAGCCCTCATTGTTCCCCATGATCAGAGAGAGTCTGGTTTTATCCCATGCTTTTTCAGTCACAGTCCAGCTGGCCTTGGTGAGCTCCCAATAGATCAGACCCACTGTCTCAGTGGGTGGGTGCACCTATTATTATGGTTTTGAAGTTTACACGTTCATGCAATGTGTTTGATCACACTCATTTCTTTGCCTAATTCCTCCTGGTCCATACCCCTGCTCAACTTCTTGTTTTTAAAAATGTTTCTATTTTAAACAACATAGGCATCTAAGTAATCTAAGCCTCCTGGAGAAGTCTCCTGTGGGGAAGCCTTTGCTCACAGCAGCAGACGCTAATGTTTGCAGCCTGGGAACTCCCATGAGTCTTGTGGGTGTTTCCTGTGTTCCACTTGCTCTGTTAACAGTTACAGAAAAATACAGTAATGAAAGTCACCTTGAAGGACTGTTTTTATGTCTGTTTCATGACATTGCTTATCAGATTCTTTGATATTATTCCCATTATGCAGGTGGGAAACTGAAGCTCAGAACGTAACTGTTGTAAGTTGAACACCATGTCTAATTATACAACTAGAACCCCAAAGGAACTTCTTAATGGCAAAGTCAGATAGTAAGGAAGATCTTCCTGATTCAAACAGCATTGCACTACATTTTATTTTATAAAAACAAGTCCTTGTGCTGACAGCTTGTGTTGTTGAGGCAAACCATAGGAAAAACCAGGACAGATGTACTGAATACAGGATAATAACTACACATTGTGGCTAGGATCTTCCTTGGGAAGGAAGAATGTTGGAGGTTAAAATGGTTAGGGAAAACTTAAGGTAAAATTGAAACTTCACTTAGAAAATGACTAAACTGCAGGCGGAGAGGGATTGGTGCACACAGAGGGGAGAGGGTCAGAGCACCAGAGAGCTGCATGTGAGAAAATTGGCCAAGACGTGTAGACTCTGAGGGCACCTTGTTCCAACAGTTCAGAGAAAACTCGAAAGACAGGGTAGGCCAGCAGGAATGCTGTGTACATAAAGGTGTTTGTTCCCCAGAACTCACATGTTCACATGTTGGAAGGAAAGAACCAACTTCCAGAGTTGTCCTACGACCTCTGCCAGTGTGCATGCACACAAGTACATGTTTTAAAAAGTTTAAAGACAGATCAGAGGATCTTATATGCCAAAGTGGAGACTGTAGGATGTTTTGTCTCATGAGACCTGTGCTAAATCTTTATCACATGCCAGGTGTTGATCTAAGTGCTGTGTGTGTGTGTGAGATTAAAGATAAGTGCAATGTCCAGAGAAGAAAAGTGACTGAACCAAGTTCATACCAGGAGAAATACAAGAGGCAGGATTTGAATCCAGACAAGTAAAATGCCTCTCCTGTTCCTGATTACACCATCCTGTTCTAGTTGTAGTGGCCTTGGTAAGATGAACAGGTTTCCAGCCCAGAGTCAACCTTAAACATGTAATGTGCCTCTCACATGGTTGGTTTCCAGTTTTCTTTAAGAAAAGATGGTGATTCAGCAACAATCCCCATTCCCTGGCTGTCAGTGTGTACGCACTGGAGAACTATTGGGCACTTACGCTTAAGTTTTTCTTACTGGGACTTACACTATGTCTTTGTAGGCATACAGTTTTAAGAGTAAAGTCAATTTGAATATTGGTCTGTAGCTCAGTGATAGAGCACTTATCTGCCACCCACAAAGCCCTTGGTTCAGTCTACAGCACCACTACAAACTCGATACACACTGGGAAAGTCGTCCATGCAGTTAGACAGAGCCGTAGAGAAGGCTGCCTCTTCAGCCCCTTGCTTGGTTTAAACATAAACACCCAATTTTTCTGACCCAAATGTGGTACACAATTGTTTTCTTCTAAAATCCTTTGAGTAGAAATTATTGTGTCCAGTAAAATAGTAAGTTTATCTATTAAATACCCCTTGCTTCTTTTATACGTTTTCTTTTTATGTGTTTGTAGTGTGTATGCATGTGTGTGTGTGCTGGATATGGATGCACATTTATGTGCAGGTCAGCTGTGTGTGTACCCAAGATTGATATCACGTGTCTTCTTGGTCACCCTTCATCTTACTTATTGAGACAAGGATCTTGTTTGAATCCAGAGCTCACCTGTACACTAATTGAAATAAGCAGATTGGTCCAGCGATGCTGTTTCTGCCCCCTGCCCTCTGGAATTCTAGGCAGACTGCCATGACCACCCAACACACATTGAAGTCTAGGGCTTCAGGCTCTGATCCTCATGTTTACATGAGAAGCACTTACACCACCTCTCCCCAGTTCTACATGCTCTTAAGGACTTGTACTTTCGTAGAAAGTTGACGTCTAAGGACTGACGGACGTTACACGATGGTAGAAGCGGCCTGCAGTCACTGTGTGAGGTGTCGTCAGATGGTGTGCTCAGAGAAACTAGATGGCAGCTGCTGGAAACCAGAGCTCTTGTCTTTCGTTCCAGGAGATGTGTGGTGACCTCTGGGTGTAAAGTATAAACTCTGTAGGCCTCTCTGACTTCGTAGACTTTCTTTTTAGGTCTGTTTGTAGCCTTGGCTATTCAAGTCACCTGCATGCTGTCTTCTTTCTTGTGTCTGAAGACTTTTGTGATTGTTCTTGTTTTGAGTTTAGAAGGTAAAGGTATCTGTGTACTATACCACATTCACATGTTACATTTTATACTTATTTAATTCCATAGTTACTTTTTTATTCTTTTTCATTATGTGTATGGATGTTTTGTTGGTATATATGCTTGCACCATGTACATGCAATGCCCACGGAGGCCAGAAGAGGCGTTGTATCCCTGGAAATGTGTTACCGATGGGTAGGTGTGAGCCTCCATGTAGTTTCTGGGAATGAAAGCCAGGGCCTCTCAAGAGCAGCCAATGTTGAGCCACCTCTCCAGTCCTGTATTCCAGACTAGAGACTGTATTGGTTTCATGTACAAAAAGACAGATCATTTCTTTCTTGAAAAAAACGGTGTGGTGCTAAAGATTATTTGATTTTACCCCAGAATCATACCAATGAGAAATAGTATGCACAATATGTGTGTGTGTGTTAAGTCTGGCAGATCTGAAACGGAAGCAGTTCCCTGCCCCATATAATTCTAATAACTGCCACACTGTAGCCCTGGACGACACCCACTTAAAACATTGCCTTAACAGTGACATAAGACATTAAAAAAAAGCCATGGTACCAGATGAGGCAGGGTAGAGTTGACATGGTTATATAGTGTTTTTTTTTAACTTGTCTAGTAGAGCTCCTTATTACCTTTAGAAAAACGTTTGTATTAGAATAGTATTTCTGTTAATTAATCAATAGCCTGTGTCTGGACTTTACACATGACCTGGGAGTCTTGGCAAAATCATGTTTGGCCTCATGTAGCTTCTTTTTTTTGAAAAGTCAAAGTTTAATGATAGGCTAATAGAAACTTCATTTTAAAAATCTTACTGGTCACTGGGCAGTGGTGGCGCACGCCTTTAATCCCAGCACTCAGGAGACAGAGGCAGGTGGATCTCTGTGAGTTCGAGGCCAGCCTGGTCTACAAGAGCTAGTTCCAGGACAGGCATCAAAAACTCCAGAGAAACCCTGTCTCGGGAAAAAAAAAAATCTTACTGGTGCTGGAGAGTTAGGTTAAGAGCATTGACGGCTCTTCCTGAGGATCTGGATTCAGTTCTCGGCCCCCACGTGGCAGCTCACAACTGTCTGTAACTCCAGTTACAGGGGACGGAAACCCTTGGCAAAACACTAGTACACATAAAATAAAATTTAAAAAAATCTTACTTGCTGTGTCTGTTGTTTCTAAAGAATATTGGAATACAGATATGTCTTAATAGAATGTTAACACTTACTTGGTCTGTATTTGAGATTAAGTTTGAGAGATGCAGACCTGCAGTTTAAGAAGATAGCTCACAAAGAATTTTGAGGCCGTGTTATTAAATTTGGCAATACAAATACTTTTGAAACATAAGATTAAGGGCTGGAGAGAGAACTCAGCTGTTAAGAACACTTGCTACCCTTCCAGAGGACCAAAGTTTGGTTCCAGTACCCACACCTGGTGGCTCACAACTGCCTGTAACTCCAGCTCCAAGGGAGCAAACATCCTCTTCTTGCCTCCCCGGCCACCCACACAGAAATATGGAACTGTTCTCCACTTATAGCCTTACCTCTTGGGAGGAACAGCTGAGTTTTGCCCTCTTTTCCCCTTTGCCCCAATACTATGCTTTTTAAAGCCCTGCTAAGATTAAAGTTATGGAAGATACTTTAGTGATTTAAGACAAAAAAAAATATGATTTTTAAGTAAGAAAAACAATGGACTGAGAAGGCAGTGACTGCATCCTTCAGCTCCTCCAATGCTGCAATCCACTGCCCAGTGCAAGCGCCTCACCCTCCCCGGCCCTCGATTTCCTTATCTCTAGAAGTGAAAGAGGTGTACTAAACAGAAGTTGCCTTCTGGTTCTGATGTCTTTGAGATTTTTATACAAAATAGAGTACTTTGCCAGCCAGGTCTTGAGCCTACACTGTTTGAAGTACTATCAGCCAGATAGTGATTTTTGTGTACTTGTTGTTTTTTCAGAAACTCTGTGAAGGCATATTTAAAGTCCTCGTAAAGGACGTCCCAACAACCTGTCAAGTGTCCTGCCTGGAAGTGCTCCGCATTCTCTCCAGAGACAAAAAGATTTTAGTTCCTGTAACAACTAAGGAAAATATGCAAATACTGCTGAGACTAGCCAAGCTGCACGAGTCAGATGATTCTTTGGAGAAGGTGTCAGAGTTCCCGGTTATTGTGGAATCGTTAAAGTGTCTGTGTAACATCGTGTTCAACAGTCAGATGGCCCAACAGCTCAGCCTGGAACTGAATCTCGCTGCAAAGCTCTGTAACCTCCTGAGAAAGTGCAAGGACCGAAAATTTATCAATGACATAAAGTGCTTTGACTTGCGTTTGCTCTTCCTCTTGTCACTTTTGCACACTGACATCAGGTCACAATTGCGCTATGAGCTCCAGGGACTCCCGCTGCTAACCCAGATCTTGGAAAGTGCCTTTAGCATCAAGTGGACCGATGAGTACGAGTCGGCCATAGACCATAATGGACCTCCTCTTCCACCTCAGGAGACAGACTGTGCCATCGAGGCCCTCAAAGCTCTCTTCAATGTGACAGTAGACAGTTGGAAGGTGCATAAAGAGGTAAGGTTGGGAGGAGCGCACACATCCACTGGAATCAAGGATATGGGTTGCTGCACACAAAAGAGGAATGCTAAGTTGGGAAATGAAAAAGTGTTCCTTCACTAGTTGGTTCTTCTTAAGTTGTAATCTTTCAAGGGCTGGAGAGATAGCTCAGCGGTTAAGAGTACTGGCTGCTTTTCCAGAGGACCTGGACTCTGTTCCCAGCACCCACTTGGTGACTCACAACCACCTCAACTCTAGTTCCAGGGGATCTGATGCTCTCTTGTGGCCTTCGTGGGTAATAGGACCACATGTGGTACCGATACACATGCAAGCAAAACACCTATATGCATAAATAAAATAAAAATAATGGGGTAAAGAAAGAATTCCATTTTGTAGAATAGAGTCTTCCGAGTTCTATAATCTTATCTTTTTTGAGTGACAGCCTGGGGAGAAGCAGCAGGCTAATGATAGGTGTTTGTATTGACTTCCATCTTGGAAGTTAAGGTAAACCCCGTCAACTGAGCTTCGACCACCACAGCTGATGTCTTTTGGGAAGAGAAAAACCATTGAGTGCCCCTGTCACTGCAGTCCACAAGGTGTTACGTTGTAGTGCGCCTGTCACTGCAGTCCACAAGGTGTTACGTTGTAGTGCGCCTGTCACTGCAGTCCACAAGGTGTTACGTTGTAGTGCGCCTGTCACTGCAGTCCACAAGGTGTTACGTTGTAACGCACCTGTCACTGTAGTCCACAAGGTGTTACGTTGTAACGCACCTGTCACTGTAGTCCACAAGGTGTTACGTTGTAGTGCTGTGAAGCCTTCAGAGGCCTAGACTCACAACAAGATACTTAGTTTATGTACGGCTTTAGGAAACAGGCTAATTATACTAAAAAGGGGGAAATGTTTTACGCCACTCTACTTATTTCTAGACTAAGATCTTCCTCTGTGGCCTGAGCCTTCCAATAACCCCAAGTGAGGTGGATTGGATAGTTTATATTTGAGTTCCTGCAAGAACGGTGTGCTGAACTTGAAATGTAGTCTGAGAAGCCCACAGTTCTAAGTGAGGAGCACACTATTGTTCATCAGGAACTCAGCATCTCACGTTCTCTTCTTTAACTTTAAAAACCAGTACAGTTCAGCTCCCGCCTTTGAAGCTAGCATTGGCCCTGTCTGTTTGAAGTAATTCTCACCCGTGTTTTTGCCAGCAGCCTACTGGAGAAGGATTATCTCAGCGCAGCTATAGTGGGGCACACAGGCATCTGAGCTGTACAGCGCAAACGTTTGAAGATGAGTGCTAACAGCTGTTTGAGATGACTGCAGTGTAGTCAGCCTTGCTGAGACTTGGCAGGGAAAGATGTGGGAAGCCCACATGCTCCATGTTTGCTTTCAAACCAAATATTTGGAAGTATTTAAAATGTTATGTCTCTGCTTATATGGTACCTTCTGTGGTTATTTTTCTTACACTGTTTGTGTTAGTGTTTTTAAGATTTCCAATTGGTTGTAAAAGTGCCTCTGAGACTGTTGGTTTGCCATTGTTACACTGCACTGTTTGGATACTGACAAGATGGCTTCTACCTCAGTGGCTGCTCCGCAGTGTGTGGGGGGCCCGTGGTGAGAATCAGTACTCGAGACGAGGGTCTGGTAGTGTTTCAGCTAAGTGACTGTGGCATTGGAGAGCTCTGGAAACGGCGAAGTGGTAAAGCCTCGTTCTGTGTTCCAGGAAACTCACTCTTCGAGATGCAGGCTCTCCCCACAAAGGGTCAGTGGTCCTAGAATAGGTTTATCTGTGTGAGCCGTGGGGCAGTTATGCAGCGTTTATGAAGTATGTGTTGTGAATGGGACACTGGGCCAGTGCTGGTCTTCAGAAATATAAACAGTACTGAAAATAGGATCTTTGACAACCTGTTTATAAAGAGTGTCTTCATGTGGCTGTTTATAAACATCTGCTAGACATTGTCCCAGCATTGGAGAACACACTGGCAAATACTAAGCAGCTTTGCCTTCGTGAAACTTTAGTTTTGTAGGTGGAAACGGACAATAAGTCAGCAGAGAGCTGGGTGCCAGAATGGAGACACTTCTGAATTAGCCACATGCAGGATGCAGGATGCAGGGACAGAAGTTTCCTAGAATTAAATACCACTTGGAGGACGCAGAGAGCAAAGCACACGGTGCCTTTTTCTGGGACACTCACAGCTCGGCTACATCACAGAGAGGCTGAGTGGGAAGGCCCATTCCTTGGAGTCCATGTCTTGTTTTTGTCAGACCAAGGACATTTACTTCAGTTGAGTGAGCCAGTGGAATGGTTAATGCTTTAGGTACCAACCAAAATAAAGCTATATGAAAAAGCAACCAAAGAATCCACTTTAAAATAAATAATATTTTTCTTCTTAGGAAAGTAGAGTCATAGGCTATACAAGAACGTAAAGGACCAGAAGATGTGAACTCCCTGTAGACACCCCCCCCAGAAGGTGAGCTCTGTTCACTCCCTGTAGACCCCCCCCCCAGAAGACGAGCTCTGTTCACTCCCTGTAGACCCCCCCCCCAGAAGACGAGCTCTGTTCACTCTCCATCACTCTTCCTGCATAATGTGAGCAGAGGAGAACTTCCCCCAGTGCAGTCTCTGTGGCCTCACCCCGCCATGCTGCCCTTGAAGAACAGTGCTTTTCAGGGCTGAGGGCAGGCTCAAGTCACCTCCTAGCTTAGCTCAAGATTTGAGCCTCTAATTTGCCAAGATAAATCGTTTTTAAGAATAAGGCTCTCAAAATGCATTCCCTCTGGCAGAAAGGTCCCTAGGAGTGGGCTGTGGGGTGAGTCTCCCAGGCTCTTCATCTCTACCCTAAAAAGAGAAATTTTAAAAAGAAAGAGGGAACCTTTGAAAAATTATAAACCTTTGGAAAAAATAGCTATTGCTATTTTCTTTAAACTTTTAACTAAGATTTTGTTTGGAGACTAAAAGGTTCTGCAGCCAAGACAAATTTGATGGCTGCTCTCTCACCCAGAAATACTAAAGATGATGGATCTTATGGAAGAATACTTGTACATTGAAAAACACGTGTGAGGGTAAATAAAACCACTGAATATACATATAAAAATAGAAGTATTTATATTTTTCAGCCTTTTACAGCCTTTTTCATTTAAGCATGAGTATAATTAATTTTCTTGTGAAGTCTACATTCCTGAAATTGATTGAAAAAGGATTTCAAAAGTTTTTTTTTTTTTAAATACATACTGCCTGAGTGTATCTATCTACACTGTTTTAATCCCTAGGCATCTGACTAAAAATATTTATGCCCATGTTACACTAAAGAAAATAGAGATATTTGCCTGTGGTTCTAGCTGTTTCCGCAGGTATTTTTATTTCATTTGCGTTTCACCAAACGCAGAAAGTTCATGACTGGGTTTTTCTTGAGGTTTCACTTCTTTCTGCCTCAGCATTAAAGTTCCTGCCTCCTGCAAATGCATTATAGTGGCTTAATCTGAAGATCCCCTTCCTTAAGGTGTCATCTTCACCTGTGAATTCACCTTTCTTCTCTCCCCCCCACTCTTTCCTGTCTCCCTTTCCCTTTCTTAAGAATAGTGTATTTGAACGAGTGAGATGATATAAGCTTAGTTGATGGAGCAGTCTGTTTTCCAGAGATCCCTGACTTAGTTCCCATTCCCTTCCCCACGTGTCCAAGTGTCATGCAGTAAAAGGAGCACAGGAGGTGATGTGCGACGGCCTTCTGTGTATGTGCTGCTCTTATTAGTTAATGAATAAAGCTGCTTCTGCCTGTGGCAGGGCAGAATATAGCCAGGCTGCAAGAGATAGAGAGTAGGTGGAGTCAGGGAGACACCATAGAGCTGCTGAAGGAGACAGACAGCAGAGAAACTTACCCCCTACCTGGTGGTGATACACAGATTAATAGAAATGGGCTAATTTCAGATAGAAGAGTTGGTTAGAAATACCCTTCAGCTACTGTCCAAGCAGTGTTGTAATTAATATATTTTCTGTATGATTATTCGGCTCTGGGCGGACCAGGAACGACTGAGCAGTCTCCACTGCAGGATGGTTCTAGAGACTTTGAAGGAAATATAGAAAAGGGTAGAATATAAAAAAAAAAAAAAAAGGCTCAGGCTATACAGTGTTTAATTGTTGAATCATTTTAACAGTTACTTTGATGAATGGTTTTGCAGATAAAGTGGAGTCTTGCCCAGTTTGTGAGAGGGGAGTGGCAGTAATAGCAGACCCTACGTAAAGAACAACAGCTGTGTGAAGAACTCTCAGACTTTCTGCCCCTTCAGCCTGCCCGTTTCACCTCTTCCCTGTCTTCCTTCTCTTCCTGGGCCTTGTGTCAGGTCAGAGGAGAGATGAGAACACTGATTTCCTAAAGACCGCATATCTGAGTCATAAAGTGATAAGACCCGTGTGTGCGGTTTATCTAATACTTCACTAAGAGAAAGTGCATTTACTCCTGGTGTGGGTCGGATAGGAATGTTAGCTCTGCTGGATGCATGAGGACACTGAGGACACGTAAGAGATCAGAGAGCTAAGATTACGGGGGAAATGTACACAGTGGTTGCCAACAGAGGGAAATAGTGTCCGTGTGGATTTATACACACCACACACAGCAGGTACCCACAGAGGCCAGAGGGCATCTGATCTGGAACTGCAGTTCATGGTGCTCATGAATGCTGGTCACTGAACACATTCTTTCAGGAGCAGTAAAATACTCTGAATCACCGAGCCATCTCTTAACACATAAACTTATTTTATGTTTTTGAGGCAGGGTCTCACTGTGTAGCCCTAGCTGGCCTGGAACTCACTATGTAACCAGGGTAGCCTCTAACACACAGGTATCCTCCTGCCTCAGCCTCCCAAGTGCTGGGATTAAAGCTGTATACTGCAACACCCAATAGTAAATTTTAGTTTTAAAATTTATCGTGTGTGTGTGTGTGTGTGTGTGTGTGTGAGAGAGAGAGAGAGAGAGAGAGAGAAAGAGAGAGATGATGTACACATTCCATCGTTCACATGACAGATCAAACAACAACTTTGTAGAATTGGTTCTCCATCCATCTTGGTTCAGGGATGGAGCCTATGTCATCAGGCTTTCATGACAAGCATTTTTATTTATTTATTTATTTATTTTTGCCTGCTGACCCGTCTCTGGCCCCACTCTGTTTGTTGAGTAATTGTGTTAGAGTAGCATGCCTCTAACACACTTGTTGAGGTGTAGACCAGAAGAGTAGAATGAAGTGTACAAGTGAACCACGTGCACACACGACTGGTTATGATATCTGGAAGGATAAGCAAGCGCGTTTTTTGTTCAAGTGGATGGGAAATGGATTTGAATCCTTTATATAATACACAAAAAAATTGACCTGAGTTAGGAGACCTAAATATACAAATAAAATATTAAAGTTTATAGAAGATTGCCTTCATGATTTTTATCTCAAACATTTCTGAAATAAGCAAGACTTCTAAAGAAAATAAGGACAAAACCATAAAGGAAAATTAATTGATCTTAATTAAAATAAATTCAAAGATGAGTGCTGTCGAGGATAGGAATAGGCTTCTGGAACCCCAGTACTCAGAAGGCTCACATGAAGAGTGGGATCTGCACCACAGGTGCCCTGAGCACACTGCCAATGCCCACCGATGTGTGTACACCGTCAACCCTGCAGTAAAGTAGGCAGAGCTTGAGTCGGGACTGCCAAAGAGCTGTCCAGTGCCCAGGGAGAGTGCCAGAGCAGGGCTGTCATCTTCACACCACAGGTGCAGGAAGTGAGGAGAGTGTCAGAAGACCCTGCTGGAGTTGGCTGTACAGGATGGGGCGCCCGTTTTGTGAGATGTTTTTCCTAACTGTATGCTTGGGAAATACCGTTCGGCAGTGCTCTCTAGAAACATCAGAATGTAAAGTGTGAGTGTAGGTGGTCCTGATGATGCAGCATTCCCTCTAGGTGTGAACCCAGGATATTCCAGTGACGTGTAACAAGTGTATTGATGGCCGCAGTCTCAGAATGCTCCACACAGGAAGACAAAGTTCTCATTGAGAGAAGGGTGACTAGGTAGACGGTGATATAATATGTTCGGTGCACTCATGTGATAGCGGTGCTGTTTTGTGTCTATATGTGTTCGTGTATGTGGGCTTGCATGTGTGCATGTGTGTGTGTCAGCTGTCTTGTTCAATCACTGCCACTTTGTTCTCGCTGAAACTAGAGCTCACTTTATCCACTCAGCCATCTACCCAGTCCCAGCAGGGCTCCTGCACATTCCCGAGCTGTGTTCCTGCACCGGCCCCAGCGGTGCTCCTGCACTGGCCCCAGCGTTCTCTTCTGCGGTGAAGGCCCCAGATGGTTTTCACTATCAGAACGGTACTCTTTTTTTTTTTGTTTTTGTTTTTTTTGTTTTTTTGTTTTTTTTTTAATTTATTTATTAAATATTTCTGTCTCTTCCCCACCTCCGCCTCCCCTTTCCCTCCCCCTCCCCAATCAAGTCCCCCTCCCTCGTCAGCCCAAAGAGCAATCAGGGCTCTCCGTCCCTTGGGAAGTCCAAGGAAAACCCTCCTCCGTCCAGGTTTCGTAAGGTGAGCATCCAAACAGCCTAGGCTCCCACAAAGCCAATACATGCAATAGGATCAAAAACCCATTGCCATTGTTCTTGATGTCTCAGTAGTCCTCATTGTCCTCTATGTTCAGTGAGACCTGTTTTAACCCAGGCTTTTTCAGACCCAGGTCAGCTGGCCTTGGTGAGTTCCCGATAGAGCATCTCCATTGTCCCAGTGTGGGTGCACCCCTCGCGGTCCTGCGTTCCTTGCTCATGTTCGCTCTCCTTCTGCTCCTGATTTGGACCTTGAGATTTCAGTCCGGTGCTCCAATGTGGGTCTCTGTCTCTGTCTTCTTTCATCGCCTGATGAAGGTTAATATTCAGGAGGATGCCTATATGTTTTTCTTTGGGTTCTCCTTCTTATTTAGCTTCTCTAAGAACCCGAATTATAGGCTCAATGTACTATAAATATGTGAAATTACAAATTATTCCACAAAAGGAACTTTAACAAAACACAATGATACGGATCAGGCCACAAAAGGAGTTTCTTTAAGGTCGAAAAAGAATTAACAGCAGGAAGTAGAGGCAGGGCAGCCCATGTTCAGAAGTTGCTCTTCAAAGGGCCTTACGGAGATGTAAGTAGACACAGGGCAAAGGGGACACTGCAGACAGAAAGTACAATTGGGAAGACGAGATAAGGAAGGCAGTGGGGTGGGAAGTGGTGTTTACAGTTGTAGGCTGGAGAAAGGCCAACATGGATATTTGTGTAGAGGCTTGTCACTCTGAACTGCACACCTGTAGTCTCTAGCAGTGAGCAGAGCAATACAGGGTGTGAGTTCAAGGACAGCCTGGCTTACGTAGTGAGACCCTGTTACATAATTCAATCAATCAATCAAGATCTGGAGACATTGCTCACGAAAAGCCCAGGGTGCTGCCGCAGTTTTCACAGCCAGGACAGGGTGTGTGTTTGTTTGTTTCCCAGGACAGGGTTTCTCTGTGTAACAGCCCTGGCTGTCCTGGAACTTGAAGACCAGACTGGCTTTGAACTCACAGAGATCCACCTGCCTCTGCTTCCTGAGTACTGGGATTAAAGGTGTGCACTTCGTCCACCTGGTATAAATATATATGTACACATACTTATGTTATTATAGGAGGTAATTTTATCAGTGGGTAAGCAATAGTTTAGTTTGACATAGGTTTCATGTGGGCAGGTAAGGGTATACTTATGAGAGAATTTTCACTCAAGAACTGGGGATAGGCGGTGAGACAGCTTTCTCCTGGCCCTTAGGTGTTAGCACCCTTGGTTCCCATTGGCCCTTGCGGGCTCCCTGCGCCCCCCCAGCTCTGACAGTCACACTCCCCCTTCTTCCTCCCTTCCCCCTCCCCTCCCTTTTGTGTTCTGCTCAGAGTTTAGAGCACTGTCATGTGCACCATTTTCTTTGATCCTGGCAGAAACTCATGTCTGTGCAACTGTGTGGGAAGGGACTGAAGCCCAGAGACACGTGACTGACGTGAGGTCCAGCCCAGACTCCGCTTGACAGCCAGGGTGACGCTATCCCATTCTGACTGAAGCTCTCATCTGTCTCAAATCTATATGCACTGTGCTGTTTAAAGTGTTTCCCAGCCATATTAGGAGTGATGAAAGTGTGCCCTATTGTGTGTTGGGGTCTGTAAGAGGAGTCTTAGAAACATGCACACATATTTCGCTTTACTTTTGCAATAACTGAGAGCCGTACTGTAGCATATGCAGGCTGTCATGTTTCTCTTTTCTGCTGTGTCCTGTTACGTATAAAGAGCTAGAGGACCTTGATGCAGGTGGTTAGTGAGGTGGTTTGGCAGGTGACGTGCCTGCTGTGCAGACATGAGGACCAGATTTCTGCTTTCAGCACCATCCGAAGAGCCAGGTAGGAGTGACAGCCACCTGGAGTCTCATGCCCCAGGTAAAGACAGGGTCTCTGCATCAAGCTGCCTTACTAGACTAGCCAAATAAGTGAGTTAGAGATTGAAGGAGAAATAAAATAGAGAGTAATAAAGGAAGACATCCAGGATCAAACGCTGGCCTCTGCACACAAGTGTGCACACACATAGACACACAGCACATAGGCATGTACATTATACATGTGTACACACACCGAAAAAGGAAAAGAAACTGTAATTGCCCAAGACCTCATTATAGATGCAGAGGTAAAACAATTATTCAGTTGCTTGCTTTATTTTTCATTGTGGGTCTCTTCTCTAGCTCTGTGTCATTAATTCACTACCAGTAGATAGGTATTGGGAAAGTAAGGGGATACAATTCTGATTATTTGTGGTACAATAGGTAAGTATTGGGAAAGTAAGGGGATACAATTCTGATTATTTGTGGTACAATAGATAAGTATTGGGAAAGTAAGGGGATACAATTCTGATTATTTGTGGTACAATAGATAAGTATTGGGAAATAAGGGGATACAATTCTGATTATTTGTGGTACAATAGATAAGTATTGGGAAAGTAAGGGGATACAATTCTGATTATTTGTGGTACTTTGTTAGGCCTTAGAGACTAAGAAAATGGGGGAAAATGAAATTATTGGCCATTCATGGTGGTATATACATATTGCTAGCTCAGTATTCAGAAGTTCACAGGTTAAAGACTAGTCTGATTCCATAGTAAGACCCTCTCAAATAAATAAATAAAGAGTAGTTGTGCTCATTACTTTTGAAAGCTAAGAGATGAAACTGTGTCATTAAGAATAGAGAACCAGTTATAAAGAACTGTCTGAATACTGTTTACACTTGTCTGAAGCTTTATAGTGAGTAAACTGGCGCACTGTGCTGCAGTGAACAGAAGAATCTAGACTCTCTGGAGATGAGAAATCCTTAAGTGGAGCTGTTTTCACAAAGGTGAAACAGGGTGGCTCCATCAGCACCCTCTGGCACCAGCCGTTCTGCAGGTGGTTGTGGCTGCTATCTCATGGCAACAGTTGCTTACCGCTTTCAAGGTTTGGAGTACCTTGGCCTCCCCCTTTATAGCAAAGGAGTGCTTGGGGAACAGTGATGTGCTATTGCACCAGCCTCCCAACTCTTCCTCTCCTCTTTGTCCCCCACAGAGCGACTCTCACCAGTTCCGAGTAATGGCAGCTGTCCTTCGCCATTGTTTACTAATCGTAGGTCCAACTGAAGACAAAACGGAAGAGCTGCACAGGTGGGTACCCATCCGTTCTTGGCATCTCTGTGTCTAGTTAGACGCTATTATGAGCACAAGAAAGTGAAATACTGTGTTGAATCAGGTAGGCCAGAGCTACGCCTTAGTGTGAAATTTGTGTCCCGTTCTCTTTGTCTTTGTTTGTTGGACGCCTGCGTAAGACTTTGGTGTTTGTCGTATTCAACCATAAACCCCAGAACAATAGCATCACAATCATCGAACAGCTTCTGTCTTTCCTTGTGCTAAGTGCTTTATGGAGGTTTGCTCCCAGGCTGGGAGTTGTCCACCATGTATGAGGCCCTCGGAAAAAAGAAAAGCTAACTTAGTTTTTTCCCTTTTCTTTTGTTATTTTAAATTAAGGATTTTTAGTACAATCCTTTTTCATTTTACATAGCTATCCCCATTCCCACTCCCTCTCCTCCTGCTTCCTCCACCTTCCACCCACCCCACCTCTCCATCCACTCCTCAGACTTCCCATGGGGACTCAACAAAGTCTGACACTTCACGGCAAGACCAAGACCCTTTCCCCTGTATCTAGGCTGAACAAGGCATCTCTCCAAAAAGAATGAGGTGCCAGTTCAAGCACTAGGGATAAATCCTGGTCCCACTGCCAGTGGCCCCAAAGACTGTTCAAGCCTCAGAACTGTCCCCTGCATTCAGTGGGTCTAATTTGGTCCTATGCTGGTTCCCCTGCTATTAGTCCAGAGTCAGTGAGCTCTCCGTAGCTCAGGTCAGCTGTTTCTGTGGATATCCCCACCATGATCTTGACCCCTTTGCTCGTATTATCACTCCTCCCTCTCTTGGGCTAGTCTCTGGTAGCTCAGCCCAGTGTCTCGCTGTAGATCTTTGTATCTGCTTCCATCAGTCACTGGTTGAAGGTTCTATGATGACAGTTAAGATAGTCACCGGTCTGATTACAGGGGAAGGCCAGTTTAGCCATCCTCTCCACTGCTGCTTAGAGTCTTTAGCTGAGGTCATCATTGTGGACTCCAGGGATTTTTCCCTAGAGCCATGTTTCTCAATAGCCCTTTAATGGCTCCCTCAATCAAGATGTCTCTTTCCTTTCTCTCCCTCGCTGTCCTTCCCGCTTTTTGAGCATCTCATCCCTCATGTTCTCCTCCTTCCTTCCCTTCTCCCCTTCCACCCTTCCTTCTCTCCCTCTCTTGATTTTCTCAGGAGGTCTTGTCTGTTTTCCCTTCCCAGGGGAATCCACCTATGTCTCTCCTAGGGTTAAACTCATTACCTAGTTTCTCTGGGATCATGGACTATATAGGCTGGTTATCCTTTGCTGATATCCATGACTGAGTACAATACCATGTTTGTCTCTCTGAGTCTGGTTACCTCACTCAGGATGATTTTTTTCTAGTTCCATCCATTTGCCTGCAAATTTCAAGATGTCATTGACTTTTACTGCTCAGTAGTCCTCCACTGTGTAAATGTACAATATTTTCTTTATCCATTCTTCAAATGAGGGGCATCTAGGTTGTTTCCAGGTTCTGGCTATTACAAATAATTCTGCTATGAACATAGTTGAGCAAATGCTTTTGTAGTATGATTGGCATCTCTTGGGTATATTCCCAAGAGTGGAATTGCTGGTCCTGAGGTTGATCCCAGTTTTCTTATTCTAGTTATCATACCAACCTTTTGAGGTAGCTTTTTTTTTTTAATTTTCAAAGGATAAGAAAACTGAGGTCTCCATTTCTTTACTATACTTAACTAATATTTTCACTATTTCATTTTAAGGGTATTTAACAAAGAATATTTTTTACAGTAATAATTAAAAAACTACAAAGTAAGAATATACTCATAATGTCTTCTATTAGGATATATTTGATAAGGCTGGGCAAGGTTGGCTCAGTAGAAATGCTTTCCATGTGAGCATGCGGATCCGAGTTTGAACCATCCCAGTGCTCTTACAGGATGGACACAGAGCTCCTGAGTTAGCTAGCCTGGTGGGTGCAGCAGGAAAACAGAGGTCCAGTATCAGAACACGGTGGAAGGCAGGTGTTATTCCTTGGAAACTACAGCTCCCAGACTTCTCCTGGATTACCGTCACCTGTGTGCGCGCTGGCCGCGCCCAGGTGAGGGTCATTCCTCCCAGATAACCTTGCGCCCCCCGTTAAAAGCGAGGGTCCACGAGGTTTCGCCCTCTTGGCCCCCTCTCTCTCACCCCCCCACCCTTGTGTGTCTACACATCCCACCCCTTCTTGTGTTCCCCTCTCCCCATTAAAGTGCACCCACGTGGGAGCCGCGTGTCCCGTCTCTTCCTTTTGCGTCTTGTCTATCCTGTGTTTGTCCACACACCCACGCCGCCGCCGTTTTTAAAGGAATAATAGCAGGGACCAAGTTGACCTGGGTTGTTTTCTGACCTCCCCGTGTGGGCAGCCACATTCACACACACACACAACAGTATGCACATGTACCACACATACCCAGTGAAGTTTTATATACATATGTATGTGAGTATGTGTGTTGCACTTCTATAGAAACAGCAGTCCAGAGATGAGGACTGTGTGCTGTAAGACCCTGACTCCAAAAACCAAAAAAATGTGCAAATATTTCCTTACCATGCATCAAACATTCCTTTAATTTTCCGGAGACAGTGCCCATATATCTGCACATCCTAAATGACCATATTAAGTGTTTTTACCCTTTATGATTTTTTTCCATAATTAAGAGACACTAACAGTTCCATATCAAAATTAAAAGTTTTGTTTCTTTTTTAAATGGGTTACCCCAGGCTGAGTAGCACATGGGCTGTAAGAGAAGGAAGTCTCGTGGCCACTGCTGTGCTCGGCCAGGGGTCTCTGAGGAAAGGGTTTCCAATCTTAGCGCAGTGCTGGTCTTTGTGAAGAGAGACACTGCAGAGGTTATTCAGATTTTGAAATCAGACTCAGCCTTTTACAGTCTTTTCCTCTGTCTGCAGTTGCTCTGATAAAATGCATCAGCTGCACTGTGCACAGAGAGACGCACGCCAGAGCCACAGTCAGGATCCCCAGGCTTTCTCAGAAGCCTTCCTGGGAGATTGCAGCTGCTGCTGACTTTGCAGTACCCTAGTATGGCCTTGCATGCCCTTTTAATCAAAAGAAAGCGATTAGTATCAGTTTGGACAGTGGGGGTTCCAGGCTAATCCACTTAGGTGCCAAGAGCTGCCCCAGGGTCAGGAACTCTCCCTTGAGGTGTTGACTGCAGCTCTGCAGTGTCCTGGACCCAGCTCTGTGTAAGCCTGCACAGGAGCCAGGCGCAGGCCAGGTGTTTAAGATGAAACTTAAAAGGCGTCTTTTAAATAGTATTTTTATTAATTTGTTGAGAATTTCATACAATATAATTCGATCATAGTCACTTCCATCCCTATTCTATTTCATTCTTGAAGTTATTTCCAAGGATTTTTTTTACTCCTTTTTTTAGTGCTTTTGTTTTCGTTTGTTGTTGTTTTAGGGAACACTGTAGAGGTGGGTGACCCTGGATAGGGCAATAATATGTGGGTGTCTGTGAGGCTTCCTGGCCCAAGCTCGGTGAGTCCTAACAGCAGCTACATCCACTGTCTCTTCTGTTACTCTATCAAGCGTGTTGATTTGTGGTGGAAGACTCTGTCCTAAAGTTTATAGATTGCTCCCTGAGCTTTTAATATCTCACTCAGAAACTCATTTTTGTGTTATCCTTTGATCATATAAAGATATTTGTTTTCTGATACTCTAAACTTTTTTCCTGAAGCCAGAAATTCCATTCATATTAGATGATAAAAAACAAAGAGGCTGGCAAATTTCTGGTCAGTTCTCTCTAAGTCGGCATCATTGTTTCCATCAGAGAGGGAAGCCCGTGTGGCCCGGTACACAAGTTAGCGCCCAGGGCCGCACAGCCTGAGCTCTGTTTCCACACTCAGGTCTAGTAGTGGTCCTCTCTCCTGTTGTTTATTCCTAGCAGCCGCAGTAGTGGTCGTTAGTATCAGCCACCTTTGTGCTGAACAACGCCCTGCTTCTATTTTGTCTCTACCGTTTGATTGGAAGTATTTTAGTGCTCCTTATCACAGTTAACAAGCTTACCCATTAATACTTAGACCCTCACAAACTTGGACATTTCTGATTTATTGTGGATAGGAAATAGACCAGGATGGCCTCCAAGCTGCTAGGGAGGGCGAGACCCAGACATGGGGTAGATTGTTTGAGGCGCACAGTTCTTCCATGTGCTGAGCTCAGCGTGTGCTTATCCATGTCTTTGATGCATCTTGAGTGAATTTTGTGTGTGTAAAATCCTCTTCTTTTGTTTGTATGTTGGATATCCAGCTTTGGCCATCATTTATTGAAATAGCCTTCCTTTCCGTGTGTGTGTGTGTGTGTGTGTGTGTGTGTGTGTAAGAGAGAGAGAGAATATTTTTTAATTCTTTATTTCCCATTGGTCTGAGTATCCTTAGGCCAGTTGTATACCTCTGTGCTTAAAGTAGAGTATTGTTTTCAAATTAGGAAGTTTGATCCTCCAGGGTTGTTCAGGCTATTCAGTCTCTTGACATTCCATATGCGTTTAAAGATGAGTTTTTCTATTTCTATAAAAATATCATTGAGGTATTGGTAGGAATTATCTTGAATTTCTATTCAACTCCTAACAATATTGTTTCCTAATTATCATATATTTCACTCTTTAAATGTTTGGAAATAAGATGACTTTATTTCCATTTATATTCACTTGCTGGTGAGCACTTAAGCCATGTGTTAAGTACTAATTTGAACTTTAGGGTTCAAAAAATGATGAAAACATATCGTCCATTCTCCGCAGCTCACCTGTTAGTAAATTAGCGAGTAGATGAGCCGTCCCCTCCCCCATGAGCACCGTCGTGAGCGTACAGACAACGTTTGCTTTGGAGATGTCAGAAAGGCAGGCCTATGCTGCTCTAGTTAACGCTCTGGGCTCCTTTAAGCTCACTCTCTGTGAAGAAGTTTTTCAGGTCCCGCTGAGTGCCTTGGTGGAACCAACACTGAATGGGAGTCAAAGTTAAAAGACAGTTC